GGGATGGAGAGAGTGCGGGGGGGAAAGAGTGGGGGGGGGGGATGGAGAGAGTGGGGGGGGGGGGATGGAGAGAGTGCGGGGGGGGGCACGGGGGGGTAGCCAGGGCATCGGCACGCTGGGGTCACACCTGGCCACACGCAGCGGGCGACCCATGATTGCCCCCTGCCCGCCCTGACAGTCCACCGTGGAGGGAGGGGGGAGGAGGTGAGTGGAGATGTTGGGGGGGGCTTTCTTGTACCGTGACCCCATTCCCCCCCCCACCACCCCATCGTCTCGTTTACCTTTCGCGCTCGTAAAAGCGAAAGATTGTAGCAGAAAGTCGATACCAGTGTTGTGCGCGGCGCCTGTGGGCGCATTTAAAGAGACATTACCGCCGTGAAAAGGGCCCAGCGGAGTCGTAAATGCCCCATGCAGTGCACGGGCAAAATCGAGTCCGCACACTCATCATCGTGATCATCGTGATCATCGTCCGTGCGCGCCGCTCCCCGTCCTCCCGCATACACCTGCAAGCCTCTTACGTCGTTAAATTACAATATTGGTACAAGGACGAGCAGGGTTCCTCTCTCTTTCAGAGTGGCGGGGGGGGGGGGGATACGAACGGTGCTGTATTGTAAAGCAAGCGGAGGTCACGATTAACGAAATTCTAGATTTGAAGCTTTCGTGACTGCAAGGATTCATATTCTTAGGTTTTTTCGGTAAAGTCACGTAGGTAAAAAATTAAAATAAAAATTAATAAAAGTAAAATCAATAAAAAATACCGTCACAGCTTGTGTTGCCTCCGAAACGTCGTGATTTTTATTTTATTTTTCTTTTATTAATTTTAATTTTTTACCTACGTGACTTTACCGAAAAAACCTAAGAAGATTAACGAAATGTTTCACGCGAACACTGCTTCAGTCCCGCTCGCCCCATCTTGAAAGTAAAGGGCTCAGCCCCTGCGTTTTCTCGCTCACACCACTGGTGGAGCGAGTCCCCTGGGCACATCCGATTAGCACGGTTGGCTACGTACGGTGCGAAAGAAGTTCAACATAGGTACATACATACCGCCAGCCCAGCGGAGACGCACGCGTGCTGTTTGCATGTTCGCGCATTCCATTTGGCGCATTCCATGCGAACATTTACACGACTTCTCGTGACCTTTCAAAACCGGTTATCGATACGGTTAACGGTTTTCAATACGTTATCGGTTTATACGTACTCGTGGTGTCTTCATATACGAGGGCTGCCACGTTTACGGAAACGCTAGGGTATTTCGCAGAATATAACGTCTACAGTAATCGGATCGTCTTGTGTTTCAGAATATTGTTAAACTATGATTGCCGTTGTTCATTTACTTTTTACGCTTTATTTCCTGACAAAATATTTACGAAATAACAACGGCGCACTAATTGGAGTTCTAAACACATATTGCTATTCCCATGAAATTAGTCATTTAGCAATATAATGTCGGAGTAATTTAAGGCAATGGTGATTATACGACTTCGCCATGCGTGTAGTCCGTGTGTTTATTTTACCATGTACTTTTGCAACTAACAACATGTGCATTAAAAGCGTTCAAGAATGTAGAATTGCAACTATCAACATGCCAATGGCCGGCGCATTAAGTTCCGTGAACTGCAACTGGAGAATGTTTGAGTTCTTCTTCGTGTGTACACTGCAGGAAGCAAGGCAAAGTGCGCAACACGCTAAACAGTTCTCTACTAACTTCGTGAAATAAAATCACAAAGCCATTGTAAACTGATATCGCGATGATCGCCATATCGTCAACATTAATATCGTCTCGTTTAAATACAAACACGAAGCTGCGGGAAACTGATGCCGCGATAATCGTCAACATGTTGTATCGTCTTCTTGGTTATTTCGGTAAAGTCACGTAGAATGGAAATAATAAAATAATAAAAATAAAACATAATAAAAGAATTCTCACGACGGTCTGTCGACAGACCTGTTCTTCACCTGAGGACGGCTGCTTGCGTTGTGGCCGAAACGTCGTGAGAATTATTTTATTAAGTTTTTTATTTTTTATTTTATCATTTCCATTCTACGTGACTTTACCGAAAGAACCAAGAAGATGAATCCCTGCAGTCACGAAAGCTTTCAATCGAAATGTTGTATCGTGCCATGAAAAGTGACGTCCGCGGCAAGCCTATTTCTTCATAGACAACCTCTGCGCGTGTGTGTGCAGCACCCTCTGCGAAACGTGTGCACGGGGCTCACGGCGTATCGCTTACAAGCGGCCACCCTCCTCTTCTAATAGGGCGCTCGTCCCTCTTAACACACCTGCCGGGGTCAGCGGGTCACCGCGGGAACATGCGGGAGACATCACGACCAGCGGATGATGGTTACACGTCAACTGATGGCATTCGAAAACCGAGTTGTGATGTGTGTGGGGGGGCGAAAATCCACATTTCTCTTTTTTTTTACTTGAAAGGTACTGCATGCCGCACGGCTTGAGCGATTTCTCGAGTTTCAGTCCGCATTCATCTTTTTGGATAAGTTGATGACACGTTTAATCGTAGGAGTAACGCCAATTGTTTCACCCGGGAAAGCCTCGCCAAGTCTCAAGAGTGTTTATTATTCAGGAGGGCCTCTGCTTTGGAATGTGTCGACTATTTCAGGGAAGGAATCTAATAGCTGATATTCTTTTTTTTAAACCTGACTGAGCCGTCATTGGCTGTAATGCAGACGTGATGATAGTCCACGTGTGAGTAGTGGCATCGTACATGGCAGAGGATGTGACACGGTCTTTTGGGACGCGGCACATAAATCTTGAAGCACGGTTTACATTACGCGGATTGCCTTGCGGGGTTTTCCAGATTTGCCGCCTCTGAAATGCATTGTCGCCGGTGGACCTGCTACTGTCACGAATGCACCCGATTTATTACGTGACTATGGAATCCGGAGACGTTGTCGATAGGCTCATATAAAACCAGGAGGTCTGCATGAGAAATGTAACGCCTGCGTATTTGATCCTCACGCGTGGATTAAGTAAAAATAACTTTGTAATTGGTGACGTCGAAGTAAATGAACCGCACTATTAGTGTACGTGTGTATGTTGAACTTCTTTTGCACCGTACGTAGCCAACCATGCTAATCGGAGGTGCTGGGAAGAGCAACTAACCAAAGACAAAAGCCGTTCAGTGTGGAATATTGTATTGTGTGATGGGGTAGAGTGTGGGTACTCCCTACCTGTGTGAAGATGTCTGATCATCGTGGAAGAGTAGGCCAAAATGTAATCTAGGCCTCTAAAAGCTTCCTCTGGTGGAGGCTCTTTGGTCAGCATGAACGAGCAATTGCAGGGCTGTACATTTATATCTGTATTTGGTTATACTGGTAGGAACCTCCTGGTTCCACCAGCCCACAGGGGATTATTGTGTCCGTCCGTCCGTCGTGGATCCAAAAATGGGAGGGGTGGGGCTGGGTGGAGAGGGGAGGGTGGGGCTGGGTTTGAAGGGGAGGGTGGGGAGGGGCTGGGTGGGGAGGGTGGGGCTGGGTGGGGAGGGTGGGGAAGGTGGGGCTGGGTGGGGGGTGGGAGGAGTGGGGCTGAGTGGGGAGGGGCTGGTCACCCCGTGGTGCCCTTATAAAAGTCAACGTTTAACTTACTCACGCTGGCTTGTGCCCGCCCTCACAGTCGGGCATATTTGCGGAATACACCACGCCACCGTTTACCCTGGCCATTGACCGAGCAACCCAACGTTCCTACCAGCTCCTTCCGCAGGAATGTGTTTTTTATATAACTTGGCTGTTTTTCTGATTATCACCGACGAAATTGCATTTTGTTATAAGAACAAACTGATGAATGGAATTATTTCCTTTGATGACACACATACCATCCACATTTCGGAATGTGTTCTTTTTAGGGATCTGTGTGGATACACGTTGAGTGGTGGCGCAATGGTTTGCGCACTGCCACGGTTTTCTTTCTGGCGACAGCTCACATTAGCGGTGAGTGATATCTGGACCAGTCCCAGGCCCTCCTTCACAAGCCCGCAATGGCGTGGAGAAGTATGGTTAAACAAAAAAAAACATTCCTTGATTCATCCGTCAGTGGATGTATTAATTTTCAGCATTTTAGTTTCTCCTCGAGAAATAGGTCCACAATGATAGTAATACTGGTTTATCACGACAGACGCTCCTCAATGTGAATACAACATTGCAAAGAATATTTCATTTTACCAAAGAAAATAATAATAATAAACACATTTTTGCGGTGGTGCACAGGCATACGTCGCAAAACTCATCACGCTCGTAATTCACACTGCATTCCGTCATAATCACCATCAGCCATGATCAATCATGATCAATCATCAATCATGATCAATCATCAATCATGATCAATCATGGCTTTGTTGGATGATGGATTGAGCAGGCCTTCATCCAGCAGTGGCGTGGGGAGCACTTCGCTGTCGGCTGAAGGCCTCCCCAAGCCATCGTCTCTTTTTTAAACAGTTTTAATGATGTCATTGACACGCGTATATGTTCTCGAATTCATGTCTTCCTCTTTCTGTCTCAATGTAATAGCGAGCGTGTCTCCTAACCTCACTGAAACCGCATGAACATACTTAACTTCCCACATGACATGTACCATTTTCAATGAATAACGACTGCAAGCAATGCCACTGCATCGATAAGTGTAGTCGCGAACGCTGTCACGTTTGTCTTCTCAACTTTTCTTGTGCCCTTGCAGCCCAAGTGCCTCTGGTTGCAATAAACGCTTCGGCTGCTGGCTCCCTTGCTGGATTTTCGAAGACAACAACAACAACAAACAACAACAAACGGGCACCGTTTCTAAAAACAGATCTGGACGTCCCATATTTCGGTGCGAGTCGATTCATTTGCGTGCGTGCGTGTGTGTGGAGGGGGGGTGATGGGACCTCGATAAGATCTCTCCGTGACACGGCACACAAGATGTAGACTCCGAACGGTGACGTCTCCGGGTGGCAGGAGGGGAGTAGAGGGCGGGCCCCTCGACAAGTCCTAGACACCTTTACCTGCGTCCGCTCCGGGCTCGTGTTAGTCCAGCCCAGAGCCTCGCCGCATGCGACTCCGCTCACCTGCGCGCGCGAGTTTGGATTTAGGTGACCGCGTCGAAGCCTCAAGCAGCGCGGCACTAACTTTGTGAGTCTGCGACCCCCTGTCATCGGTACCACCACGACGCAGTCGCCCTTCCCGTTGTCGACATACACGTACGCCGTAGTCGTGTCCGCGCATATGACGCGCAGCTGGGGGTATATGGAAGCGGAGTGGCGGCGGTGTTCGTTATGCCATGAACCCGCCGATCTGAGGTCGATTGCCGGTCACGGTTCGCAGCAGTGGCGAGTGACATCTGAATCGGTTCTGGGTCCTGGGCCACCCTCCTTCAAGCAGCGTTCACGATCGATACGGCATGGCGAGGCCTTCGGGCCAGCAGTTGATTGACGAAGGGTTGTAAACTCTTATTCTTCTTCTTCTTACTATTGTTATTGTTATCGTGAGCGCGTATAAACCTGTACTGTGCATGACTTGAACCTGCGAGACATTGGTGTCAGTGGGGGACAATCTGTGTGCGAGATTTCAAGCAATCCGTGTCGTCAATGTTCTTGATTGAGGATGTGGCTGGGACCTCTTTGGGCGGATGTCAATGAAGCACCACGTACGTACGGTGCGAAAGAAGTTAAACGTACATACATGCATTTAATTCCGCGGTAAGTGGAAGTCGTTTACATTATTCTCCCTAAACCACGTGAAAAAAATACGCGATTTCATGGTTGACAATGTGAGCTGATGACGCAGAATTTTACATTCGTAAATACACCGCACTGTAATATAATTCTGGTTCCTATGTGATAATAATAATAATTATTTGCATCTACGGTTGAAAGCGTGGTGGGGGGTCACGCTCGCAAAGATAATCCGACGTAAATAAAACTTTAGCGTAAAGTTGTGTTCAGCGCTATTCGTGACTTAGCCCGAACGAAAACTGCCGAAAGTAATCAGCCGTTTTTGTTTTGATTCTTAAATAATTCTGTGGATAAATGCATGTTGGAAAGCGTTACCAAATCCATATGTACGGATGATTTATCTTGCTTTTTTTAAACACATAGTACCAAAAAAAAGAGCAAGGCACCAGTGTTGTAAAGTAATTTAATTGTCTTTGGCACTGCTATATATTGTGAAGGTTCTCAATGTGATATTTAACAAGAGGAATTCAGTGCAACGTTCACGTTAGTTATAATGTTTGCCATGACTAAAAGCGTAAATACAAATATGCTTATAAATGTGCCATTGCATGGTATCTAGTTAAAGGCAGATTTGTCTTGCAAAATAAGCATATATTTTCCTTCTCAATCTCAAAGTTTGTATCGACATAAATATCGAACGTGCCATAAATGAACACTCTTTCTCGACAGTAAATGAAACTGGTACTGTGCACGTCTCAGAGTGTCTACAGAGGGGACAGAGCAATGCAATTAGCTCGTGCGCCAGGTGGATTGTGAGATCGAGAGCAGTATTTGCATCGCCCACAGCGAGAGATGATGGACGACGGTTTGAGGAGACTTTCATCCTCCAGCAGTGAATTGATGATGAAGATGCGATACAAAAAGTTGAGTTTGTAACCATATTTTAAGTAGCATTAAATCATTAATGTCTCTTCCAGTAAATATCTGTAACTTTTAAATGGCTCCATGGTGTATGTACTGTACGTATATTTGTGTTCACTCTTCGCCCTATGCCATGTATATATGTATATAGTGTACTTGATATATATTCTGGCGTGGGGAGGCCCTCATCTGGCAGTGTATTGACAAAAGGGCTGTAAATGTATTCTGTTATCCATATCAAATATTCTATGTCAATCCGTGGCTGGGTATGGTGAACTGATGAACCATCACAAGGGCAAAATCTGTCCGTTTCGCATGCTGCGAACTATTTTTATGCATGTCGGCCGACACATTAAGCTGTATATTGTCGCGTAGTAGATGTTAAAACTATAGGGCATAAATCTAACGATGTTCTCGAAGGGTCAAGAAAGACTAAATGTGCCACAATTAGGCATATTACTGAGCCTATGCTTATAATTAAAAAAATTGCAACAACCACATTTAAAAAAATTGGGTACCAACAATTTACGGCGCTATACTTAATTTGTCTCACTCATCGGGTAGGCTCAGCCAACAGTACAACATTGCTTAAATCTTGAAACAATCGTACAATCTCCATCAAACGTTTCCAAAGTAATTGCCATTATAAATTTACCAAGCAGTTGCCTCTCGTGGAGTGAGACGCGGAAGATGCTGGAATTAGATCAAAGCCCACTTATATAATTTCGAATGTGAATGATAAACAGAGGGCCTGTATATGGCAGTCATGCAAATAGCTTGCTGACCTATCTATATAATTATCTATTTAGATTTTGTAACTTTGTTATCCCATGATTCAATGAGGAAGGGGCCAATCCTCTCAATGTATGATCCTCATTAAAAAGAGTTTCAAGACTCACTAAGGATCATCATCATTATTATTTAACTTGCAATTAGTGATATTTTCCTTTGCATCACCGGCCGATTTGGGTTGTGCTGGAGTCTGCGTGATTTATGTTAAAGCTAGGTTGTACACCACAATACCATGGGCGCCGCGGTAGCGAGATGTTGACTACCTCGCCTGATATACAGGAGGTCGTGTGTTCGATTCAGACCCTGACACCTGTATATTTGGAGTTTGCATGTTCTCCACGTGGTCGCGTAATTTTTCACCGGGTCCTCCGGTTTTTCATTCCACATTTATAAACATGTGTTTTTTAGAGTTTGGCTACTATAAATTTCCACATAAGTCACTTTGTTGACCTATAATTTGTTGCCAGGTTACTTCTGAAAAATTGTTATATAGCTCAGTGGGCCTTACCTGGTAAAATAAAAAAGCAATTGTTTAGTAAATAACAGAAAGAGAGAACCCACCGTATTTTGGACATACGGCTATGCCAAACACTTGGAGAAACTGTTTATAGGTTGTTCACGTGGACGGAAAAAAGACACAGAGGTAAACAGAGCCCACGATGGACAGATATAAAGTATTAACATAACCACGAGGATAGTATACCTATGACACCGATGTTATTCGATACCAAAACCAAAAATCGCAAATTGGCGTAGCTTCATCGTGATGCTCGCGAATACGGAGCAACGAGTCGAGCGATGAAACAAGGCAACGGCACAGAGGGAGTCTAGATCTGAAGTTTTCGTGACTGCAGGGATCCATACTCTTTGGTTCTTTCGGTAAAGTCACGTGGGTATAAAATAAAATGAAATAAATCACGACGTTTCGATCGCAACACAAGCGACCGTCATCAGGTGGAACAGACACAGCAGGAGAACTGCTGACACAGGGGAAAGAGCTGCTGCGACAAGAGTTTATACACAGAGGGAGTCTGCGTGAGGATGAAGGGGCAAATTAATAAATTAGGCGAGTGTCGGCAAAAGCCAAAAATCAAACGGCGCGAGTGGACAACGATAAACAAACGGCGGTTTTGGAAAATAGCGGACAAGTAGCGTAGTCGAGCGTAACACACACGCACAGTTATTCATAAAAGTAGTCGAAACGTAGAAACAATTTCAAATATAACAAGCGTTCAAATCCACCCTCGGAAGATAGAGCGGACAGTATTGAAAAAAGCAATTTAAGTGCGCGCCGTACTGTAAAGACAACAACATCACGAAGCAGCGGAGGGCAATGGGCACGGGTCAACGCTGCCGTGACCGTGCCGCCAAGCGCCGTGTCATCTCGTGTGAGCACGGCTCACGAGAGGACACGGCGAGAGTGCCCTAGGGCAGTCGACGTGGATTCTTGGGCGGACGATTTGGATCCTAGGGCAGTCGAATTGGATCCGAGGCCGATACCTGCAGTCACCTACCCAGCGAAAACAGCAAAAACAAAAAGTGTGATCCATTCATAGATACAACCCCCCCCCCCCCCCCCACTGATCTATCATCGCTCTCTTGTTTCTAATGACCTCGGCGTACGCATCAAATCTCACCGGCTGCGTCGGACAAAGAGTAGCAGGAGAGTGCTAAAGGATATAATACGTGTGTTGGGATCGGTGGAGAGGCATGTAGAGACGGCTTTGACATGGAATGGTGGTTACTCTATACCAGTGGCTCTTAACCTGAGGGTGCACGCAAACCTTGGGGGGTGCGAGATACCCTTCGTGGGGGTGCGAGACGTTGCCAGATTTGTTTTAGACGGTAAATCATCGAAGCAAAAATGAAGCACGGGCACTTAAGTACAACTACTTTGTTTCATCAAACATATGTCTTTATTAACATTGTATAGCACATATTACGATCGAAAACCAAAGAGGTGCAAGGCTGCAGTAAAAGTTAAGAAACACTGCTCTATAATTCCCCCCCCCCCGTTATATTTTTCAGCGGGGTGACTGACTGATACAGCAAATCTGGCTGTGACGGTCCCACCTGATGACGGAGACTTGTGTTGCCTCCGAAACGTCGTGATTTTTATTATTTTATTTTTATAAATTTTAATTTCATTTTTTTTTACATACGTGACTTTACCCAAAAAACTAAGAGTATGAATCCTTGCAGTCACGAAAGCTTCAAATCTAGAATTGACTGTAAAGGGATCAAACCTGACATCAGTTCGTAACGATCCTTGACGTGAACACGGCGTGTCTGGCATCCGCAAGGCAGGGGGTCAAAATGATGAAACTCACGGACGGCGCGGTGCACGTGGAAGACGCGCAGGGAGCGTTCTCCTACGGGATGAAGCTGCCCTGGGACATCAACGACCCCAAGCTGCCACAGGTTTGTTAGTTCACGCTATTGGCGGACACGCACCACGCACACGCGCGCACGCACACGTGCGGACGTTCACATCGATTCAATCGTTAAAATATAGGAATGCGATGTGGATACGTGCGAGTACTGTACGCGTGTAGAACATGGGGAACGTGGCCAGCGCACTCCGCTGTGAACTCGACGGGACAATTTCGAATCCCGGGCGATGCCTCATCATATCAGCACTTGGCACGACTCACATCGGTACTTGTCGGCTACACGGGAAGATCTATGTCTTTGCATTTTATATATATGTGCAGTGCTTACTAAAAGCACTTGCCCCAACAGTCTGTGTTGGCTGCATGGGGATATTTGCCTAAGTATGTAACGTTATACATTACTCACTAAAATCGCTTAACCCCAACAATCTGTGCAGTCTACACAGAGGGGAATCTGTGTTTGTTTGTGTCTCTCGTCCCCTCTCTCCTTCTCCTCCTCCTCCATATCCTCTCTCCGCGTCTCTCGGACTCTTGACTCGATGACCCCAGGACCTGAAGCAGGTGGACCCCTTCCAGGAGTGGAACGACGGATACGCGCGCTTCGTGTTCAGCGCCGAGGACAAAAACGCGCAGCGCCACCTGAGCGGCTGGGCCATGCGCAACACCAACAACCACAACTGCGCCATCCTCAAGAAGTCGTGCCTGGGGGTGGTGGCGTGCGGCCGGGCCTGCACCATGCCGGACGGCCGCAAGGTGCACCTGAGGCCGGCCATCTGCGACAAGGCTCGCCAGAAACAGCAGAGTACGTGCGCGTGCCGAGGGTTTCGTTCCCTCTCGGTGGTTGCCGTGATCGTGATCTATGCAGTGATTACAGCATTACCCCCCCACACCCCCATCACTCACACCCCCCCCCCCACTCTCCCTTAGGTTTCTGGCAAAGAAGTCACATTTAGGTCTTGAGAATCCGTCATTAGATGTATTTGATACACTCGAAGACCTCGTCCGATCGCATGCTGGCCCTTATAAGGGCCCTTTTTGTCGGTGTTTAGCTCTACTGATCATGTCTGGTTTGAATCTAATGACGTTTATTTCGGTTTAACACGTAGGCTTTCGCGACCAATATCATCCATAATATATGTTTTCGGGTTAGATCGCGTAAATATAGAAATGTGTCGCTAAAACCCGCCACCACCCGACACAGCCAACTAGTAAGGGTTGTCACGTAAACAGAAAGTGCCAATTCGTCACTAGTACAGCACTAACCGGTGTGTTGGAGAGACAAGCCAAAACATTTACAATCTGAGCACGACGTTTCGCCAGTAATTACAACTAGCTTCATCAGGCTGTCGCCTGTTGCCTGATGAAGCTAGTTGTAATTACTCAAGACTCACTGTTTCGTTCCTTATATAGAGGCGTTGATGTGATGACCACCCTTCTGCGCTCTTGCACAATATGAGGGGGGGATTACTGAGGCAACGTACATTATGCATGTACATTATGCGAGCTTTTTGAACTTGTCTTTCTTGTCTATTCTGTTTATGAAAATAGCCCTACCAACGGTAATCCCTATTGAAGTACGCTGCCCTTTGTGGGCAAGCATTTAAATAATGTATTATTTGATTATTCGCTTCCACGCAGCACTAAGACGGTCGCTATCCGAACGGTTATAGTTATTTGGATTTCTCTTGGCCAGTAGTAGCTATACTCTTAGGTTCTTTCGGTAAAGTCACGTAGGTAGAAAAAAGTAATAGATCACGATGTTTCGATCGCCACACAAGCAATCATCCCACCTGAGGACGATTGCTTGTGTGACTTTACCGAAAGGGCCAAAGAGAATGGATTCCTCCAGTCACGAAAGCTTCGAATCAGTAGTAGCTAGTTTTGCACAGTTTATTTCGCCCAGATGACGGTATTAGTTGTGTTTCAGGTAACATGAAAACACGTAACAGGTGGCCCGTGAAAAGGCTATCATCTCCCACCCTCCACTATGATTACATTTCCATACGCAATAATATAACCCAACAGTCGTAATTCACAACCTTTTATTCTTTTACTAAATGGAGGCCGCCCCCCCCCCCCCCAAAATCCACCAAACTATTTAACGGGGGACTTTACAACACTGCATCTAGCACCTACACACGAGCTGATTGTATCGCTCCATCTCCACGATAGACGTCGTCATGAGCAGTGTTCCCGTATTTGGCTGCCACTCCATTGTTAGTCTCGACCACTGGCCATCATCCATACTAAACGAGAAACTAAACTATATATTTTTTTATTTGACCAAGTAAAGCCCGCTTGAGCTATACCATACAGCGCTTTTTCAGAAACGACCTGGCCACAAATGATAGCTCAATGAAGTGGCTTATTGTATGGACATTCATAGCAGCCAAATACTCTAAATGCATGTTTCTAAATGTGGAGGGGAGAAAACCGGAGGACCTGGAGAAAAACCATACGACCACAGGGTCGAGATTGAACCAACGACCTCCTGCATACCAGGCGAGGTAGTTAACATCTCGCCACCGTGGCGCAAGTAACGTGTCCTGGCAAACACCACTTACTCTCCGTAACAGTCAACATGATGTCTCTATCCATGTGTTCCTCGTTCTGTCTCTCGGTCTATATACATATCACTGTGTAGCCTCCTATATGCACCTCGACACGTCACGTATTAAGTGGTGAGCCAGCTGGCCAGAATGGCAAACCCTGAGCTGTGCTCGACTTTATGAGTCTCGTCAGCAGGGTGCGAAAACATTTACGACTTTTACGTTGACCACCATTAGTTCATATTTGTGGGTTTGTCACGTGACACTTTGGGTACTTAATGTAATGAATCCTTCATTGGTCCATACATATACCGACTTTATTTATTTGGCACTTTGAGAAGAAATGCGTTATTGCTGTGGTTGTATTTTTTGCATTACAGCGCAGCGCCCTGGACCGCTGTCTCTTTGTGTTCAATGGATTATTGTTCTTTATAATTAATGTATGTGTAAGCTCACTTTGATATGTTATTCATTTTGTGTGCTTTTGTTTTTGCAAAGTGTAACATTACTATCGTATACCTGAGTTTAAATTGGTCTATTTTGGGTTAGACTGTAAAACTGTGTGTCGTACACCCTGCTCCTCCAAACGTCTGTTAAGACTATACGGGAGATCTTTGTCTTTGTCCTCCACCTCGACACAGTCAATTAATAAAAGTGTCACGTTAATCAAAGTGCCTAATTTATTGTATCGTCAAAGCATTACCAGTGTGTTGGAGAGTGACCTCACACCATGTAAGTGGGTACAGCGTACTATATACATATACAAATATCTTTTTACAAAAAACAATCAATTATCCCAACGGCGAATGTTATCATTCAAAATGGGAACAATGTACAATTTATTAATCCAACATCCCACTTCACAGTCGCTGCATGCCTTTGTTTGATAAACCATTGAATATTTCTGTATTCAAATTCGCAAATCAAGAGCCATTGAGTCGGCGTGAGTCTATGCAAGTGACATGTGCGTGTTGTAAACCAATGTAAACCTTCAACGGAGCGAGACGACACGAACTCTGTCGTGAAGCCCGATCGTCGTCGCTTGCAGAACTCCACATTGGCGTTAAGCTCCCGAACATATCTGCCACACGCAAGAATATCATAGTGAGATATGCAATCACAATGCACAGATTGTATTTGTTTTTTTCTTCTTGGTTCTTTCGGTAAAGTCACGTAGAAGGGAAATAATAAAATAATAAAAATAAAACATAATAAAATTAAATTATCACGACGCTTCGGCCACAACACAAGCAGCCGTTCTCAGGTGAAGACAGAGCTGTCTGAAAGACAACGCTCCAATGAACACTGCTAAGCGTCGTGAGAATTTTATTTTATTATGTTTTATTTTTATTATTTTATTATTTCCACTTCTACGTGACTTTACCGAAAGAACCAAGAAGATGAAAGCTTTAAATCGAAATGTATTTGTTTTATTTAGTATAATGCAGAGAACAGTGTAAGTTGTGGTCATTTGTGGTCATTTAGCCCATTGTAAATGCTGCTCAAATCACGCACTTCCAGACGGCCGTGTGCCGCTGATTGGTTGCGTAACAATTTGTGTTACGTGTCATGAATGGCGACGTGCCGTCTGCCTATTCATTGTTCTAATGCACATGGGAATGCTTTCACCTTCAAAAGCATTGTCTGCATTGCCTTTAGTAACAACGATGACGAACCTTGGGGTGGAACAGTGGTTAACACACGGCGCTATAACACCTGGGGTCGATCCCTGGTCACATCTATAACGTCCGAGACAAAGTAAATATCCGAATACAATTCTGGACACCCTCCTCCCTCCCTTTTACAACCCCGCAACTGGGCAGCGTGGTGAAGTATGGCCAAGCGACTCGGGGTTGAGAGGCCTTCGTCCAGCAGTGGATTGACGCAGGGCTGTGAATTGTGTGTTTTAAATCAAGGTCCCTTGCACACACGAAACGTGAACTTGACACGGATAACGCATTGTCCTAACGCTGCGTGAGACCGGCGCGTGGGCTGTGTTGTTGGAGACGAAACGCGCGTTCAATTTAGATTACAAAACAGGTTTGGTAAAAAAAACACAAAAGGAGGGCAATGATGTGTTCTTGATGCAGACTTTACGTAAGAGTTTGGTGAGAGCGCAGACGCTGGTAACGCTTCTCTCTTTGGCCACCGTGTTGTCAAATTGCGGGTGAGAAGACATTTTCGCAGCGTTTGTGTCGAGACGTGTCTATCGATGTAGCTTGGCAGGACTTCATTTGCCACTCCACATATCCCGGGACGCTACTAGGCTGGGCTTGCAGAAGGGATTATCAGCATCAGGCACTACCTACCACTAAAGGAAAAGGTCCGCCTATTAATAATACTACATTATTGTACTCTATAGTGCTCTATTCCTATGAACACATTTATAAAAAAAAACCTGTTCATAAGATGGCTGTGGCTGGGTGCCAAAAATAATTCCCGAAACAGTGCTCCAGACTGTTCCGGGATAAAATTCGGCACTGGAGGATAGTTCTTCTTTGAATCTACAACAGATATCGGTGACTGCAGATGGAAAACACAAGCGTACAGTATTTTCACTTCCAGCCCTTTGTCAATGCACTCGTGGGTAAAGGTCCTTCCCACGCTGTGTCAGTCTAGGGTGGTTGTTTGACCATACTTCACCACGCTGTGTCAGTCTAGGGTGGTTGTTTAACCATACTTCACCACGCTGGTTAAGTCAGTGCAGGTTGATGAAGTGGTGCCCAGCATCAGTTCAGATATTACTCGCCACTGATGTTCATCGTGAGTGGGAATCAAACTCAGGTGGCCAGGTTAATGTTGTTGTGCGCTAACCACTGCTCCAACCTAGGTTTATATCTAATGTCTGAGCGAAGTTACTCTATACAACATTATTATATCGCTTACATTAGCTTGTATTGTATTGCATTGTACAAGTTAATGATTAATATGTATCTGTAACTTTTAACAAGTAGATACAATATCAATTTTGACAACGTATTTTTATTCCTAAATAGTATGTATTAAAAAGGATAACCTAATAAGCTATGATTATTTAAAGTGTTTGTGTGTATATATACTACATATACATGTATGCCTGTTAGAATATAAACATTTGAGACGTTAAGTTATAACGCAGAGTTGCTCATATTTTAACCGGTTATGTATTCAAAACACATTTTCTGTGGGATATTTACACATACTGTGGTGTATAAAATATGAACACGTGTTTAGTTAGCCCACATTGTATATTCATCTCTATCTCAGGTTCATTGTTATAGACGTAAAGTAAACTCGTGCATATATTACAAAAAAAACGTTTCTCTAATCTCCGTGTAAAACTCACCTCCACTGAGACTCACATGAAAATTTCACTGTTTTGCCTTTTAAAATGGAAATTAATTTGCACACAAGACATACAAATAAAGATCTCTCGTATAGGCGTTAACAAGATACTGTTGGTCGCAAGTGCTATTAGCGAGCACCTATTAAATGCGTAAAAAATAACTACGCACAAGGAGATGGTATTGCCAGCAGAAGCGCATCTGAAAGCGTGCAATGCAGTGATAATCTTTGTTCAATGGTTAGCCAAAAACGACTGCGAAGATGACCGGAATTTGCATGATGGTTTATGCTCCTTGACGAGATGAGCAAGATATTTTGGTTTATTTGTGTGCCTTTGTGTGTCATGAGCGCAACCTCATCATGTATTCACTCAGCAACCAGAAGCCAAGTGCAGCTCAGTGAGCACCGGACAGACGTGGTTGGATCGTGACGTCCCTGCCACGACACGTGCCAAAGAATTTCGTAAACACTGCAGCTTGCTCATGTTTTTGCCAGACGTTCCATAGAGAAATGAGTTGCAATGATCGAGTCTTGTCCATACTATGCTGCACGCCAACGTGTTGGCTATGTCACGACTCAATAGTGGCCGAACGTGTCGTAGAGTCCTGATATGAAATGTGCATGACCTGACTATTATTCACGTGGTGATGAAAACGACATTCTGGTCGAGTGTGGTGCCGAGGCTCTTTCGATGAGTCGACAACTGAATCCTGGAGTCTGCGACCGCCACACCCGGTCCTACTACAATTGTTTTCGCCTGAGACCTAGTGCCAACCAGCAGAACCTACGATTTTCCTGGATTAAGCAGCATTTCGTTTCGTGAAAACCACACAAGCACCACTCGCTTGCTAATCTTCGAGGTTACCGAGGCTTTCCGTATCTAACTTTGACTTCACTGCCGTGTACAATTGTGCATCATCAGCATGTTGATGGAACTTTATGCCATGCGATGAGCTGACTTCGGCGATCGGAGGAGAGGCGTATGTTGAAAATAGGAAGGGCCCGAGGACTGACCCCAGTGGTACGCCAACTTGGCGTGGCATAGGCGATGACTCTTTGTCACCCAGCTTGACGAACTGTGATCGACACACTCCTACTGACATACACGTGTATTGTCCGTACATGTGAATCCGTCGCCTCTTATGAAAAAAAAGAATCCATAGGGGTTGCAACGTGCCATGCCTTTCCTTGTCACAATGGCACCAGTGATCCAAATGCACTCCTCTGTGTAATCCTGAATGTTTACAAAATCAAAACATACAGTATATGTAGTGGTGGGTTCGATGGAAGATATGATGTTTAAACGCGTGTCATTTTATTTTTTTTTTTTATCAAGCAATAATATCAACCCTATCCTGTTCATGGTGGGGGGAACGGTGGTGCAAGTGGTTAGTGCACTGCCCTGTGAACCAGGAATCCTGAGTTTGGTTGCCAGTCATAGCTGACATAAGTGGCGAGGGATGTCTGAACTGGTCATGGTCATGTTGCTGCTCCGACGCCCTTTGCTAACCCACACTGATCAGCGTTGGTGAAGTATGGTTAACCAGTCCCTGTGACTCACACAATGTGGAGGCCTTCAGCCAATAATGGATTGACAAAGGGCTGTAAATTAAAATCCACACCATTATATTTTAATCCAGTTATTTCGTTGGCAATTATTATTTCCGCTGATGCTGGTTTGCATTCAAAATACATACGACCACTGTTTCTGTAGAACACCTTGAGATGTGGTCTGCATTTAGACAATATATAAATCCACATGGTATATTGTAGGCTTGTCTAATCTAAATACATAGGTCTCTATGTAAGCCCGCGGGGTCTCTGTGTGAGTCTATGGGCGTCACATTGCGCTGTTCGTGCTTTTGTTTCGTTCAGAGAAGCTGTGTCCGAACTGCGGCTCGCCGCTGGACCTGGTGCCATGCCGGGGCCACAGCGGCTATCCCGTGACCAACTTCTGGAGGCACGAGGGGCGATTCATATTCTTCCAGGTGCGGCACGGGGCGGCGTCGTAATGATGATCGTTATAGCATTAACATCTGACAGCCGATAGACAATCGACAGTCAAAACACGAAATTACAATTCTGTAAGAGATATATTATGCCCGCATGTATATATGTATAACTTCTTTCGCACTGTAGTATCCAACCATGCTAATCGGAGGTGCGGGAGAAAAAGAAAAAACTAAACATAAAAATCAGTTCCAAAGAAATTAGTTTTAAATTTTAAAGTGGCTCCCTAATATCAAAAGGAAGAGCGTTCCAGACGGCCGCAGAAGCGCATCTGAAAGTGTGCGATGCAGTGACCATCTTTGTTCATTGGTTAGCTAAAAACTACTGCGAGGATGACCAGAGTTTGCGTGATGGTTTAAGCTCCTTGACGAGATCAGCAAGGTCATGTGGTTCGTTTGTAGTGCCACAATTCTAATGATCATCATCACCTCCGAACCCAAAGATCTTGGTTCAATTCCCAGCCACGTGGGGAATGATATTTAAAAGTGCCTCCATGAAAATTGTGGGGCCCAAAATTTTGTTGTATTAAAATCAGAAGCAAGTTAATTATTTATTTTCGAGGGATCCAATGAGCTGTAAAGCTCTTTTTCACAGATGTCCAGTAGCGGCGGATCAGAAAAGAAAGTGTTACAAATGATGACATGCTATCCTATCATCCCTAGTGAATTGTGTAAGATTCATCATCCTTGGTGTTTTAAGAACCCTGTATTTCCACTCCTTCATTGTCATCAAATTCATTCCTCGTGAATACACCAAATTTCAATGCTATAGTCATCATTATTATCCTCAGATAATTTACATAAAAGACTGTTCTTTTACACATTATCACTATCATCATGCCTGTAATATTCAGGGTGCCAATAATCATCATGTATGATAAATTCACTAAAATACTGCTGTCATAATCATCATCAACATCATCATCGTTACTCTAAGTTAACTTTGCCCTTGTAGACACCATCGTCAGGCTTGGCAAATTCGGTAGGAACCACGTTCTTACGTACACGATCGCCATAATTTTCACGATCACCATCATCACCACCACCACCACCACCACGATCATCATCCCCGGTGAATTCACTCAGCATCCTTCTCTAGTCCTGCATCAAAATTGCCGTGCGTACATCCGTCTGGCGTAAACGACGCGTCCCGCGGTCACAGCATTTTTTTCTTTGACGTTGCAGGCCAAGGGCTCGCATGACCACCCGCGGCCTGAGAGCAAGACGGAGGCGGAGGCGCGCAGAAGCTCCAGCAAGCGGCGCCTGGGGCTGGCGGGTGGCTGCGTGCAGAGGTCCAAGCGGGGCACAGCGCCAGAGGTGAGCCCCGGCTCCTGGAGATCGGTCGCCTCTGGCGCCCCCGCGGACTGGAACTCCCCTTGCCCCGGCCGTCCATGCTGTCGACTCCCTGCCCACACTCAAGTACAGGCTCGAGACGTGCATTTTTATCTCACGCGTATGAATGGCTGTCTCGTTCTCTGCATATGGAATACACGTGCCGATTGTGTCTGTGCAGAATCTTGAGTTGCAGTTGTATTTTGACGCTACGTCAATCCAAGTTTTTATTTTACGTGAGTGTATGGGTCTCTATGTATATGTATGGATCTCTGTGTAAGTCTGTCTTGCTCTATAAGTGTCTCTAGGACTGCCTCTTCCGCTGTATAACATAAATATCCCCTCGTTGGTCATGTACAGCGTCTTGAGGTGCAGTCACATGTACAAGCCCTGTAAATACACGTTGTATTGTTATTGCATTCGCGATTCTGTAGCCATGAAATACATATACGGTGGGCAGATTTCACGCACGCTCTTAGGGAGTTGGCAGACAGTGAGACAGAGGGTTGCATCATAAGTGTATTATGGCATGCTGAAGGAATTTACCACAAAGGCCACTCCTGCATCCTGAACAGTATCCGAGTTGGGGTCAAATGAATGTCTCTGTATGATCAACTTAGATTGGCAGGTATTTGTGTTCGCAGACATGAGAGTTGGCATTGACTTACACAGTGTCAGCGCCACTTTGTCCGTTGTCATTGTTGAAAAGAGCAGAGCACTGAATATTGTGCAGCTGTTCTTTTTTGTAAGTACGATTTTGTGATTACAGAGCATTAAATAATACAAAAAACAGTGATAACTAATTTTTCGTGTTTAAGGTCGAACTTATTTCTCACCGTACGTAGCCAACCGTGCTCATCGGAGGTGCGGGGGAAGAACACCAAATTGTTGATTAAATAATTGGGATGGAGCAGTAGCACACTAGTAACCACACTGTGCTGTGAATCCAGCGACCTAGGTTTGATTCCTAGAAACAACTTTTTACAGTGGCAGCCCTGATCCCTTTTTCACCAAACTACACTGACCAGTGCTGCAGTGAAGGGTCAGAAAACCTCCATCACTGACAGTCATGGAGAGACATTCACGCAACAGTAGATTGACAAAGGGTTAAAATTACTGATTATAATATTATGAGATAAATCCAGCTGTGTGTCACTGGGAGTGGTCGCAATAAGATTGGCCATTCAAATTCGAGCTGGTGGTGAACTTAGCCTATAATTCCTCTGGGGTTTGATACACTGAGTGTCGATTTGTTAAGAGGCCACCAGTGGTTATCCTACATACAGACTCACTTCTGCCAGAGGAATGTGGAACTTCTACCGTCATTAAAAATGGCATCCGTACGGCATCTTGAAATGTGGTCACACTCAGGCGCCGTGAACGCCCACTGTTATTGGAACACATTGACTCATTGACACGCAAATTGCCTCCGCTTTACCATTCGCAGGTCGTTTGGTACTCCAACATCAACGGCTACAACCCGATGCCCTCCATGTCGTCCGTGGGCATGGAGGCCCGGCAGGCGCTCGACCCCAGAATCGGTTCCGTGTGGAGCTCCAAGCAGCCGCCCCTTATCCCGCAACCGCGCTGCGAGCCCTCCGTTGGCGTCGGCAGCGGCTTCCACGTCCCCAGGATGCCCAATGAGCGTTTCTACTTCCCGGCGCCGGCGTGCAGCTACGAGCTTGCCATCCCCAATTACCTGTCGCACGCCTCCCCGTACCCGGCGGCCCTCCTGGGCGACCACAGGGACTACAAGCCCGAGCAGAGCCTCGTCAAGGCCGGCGACGCTTACCCGCACGCGTACGACGGAGCCCGCTTCGCCATGGGCCACTTCGGCCAGGACGGGGTGCACGAGCACGTGGCCCAGCCGCCCAAGGAGATGCGGCACCAGAGCTACAAGCAGCCCAAGAGCAACGGCAAGTCCGAGTACGGGGATAAGTACGAGGGGGGCGACGCCGCCGCCGTTAATAGCAGCAGCGGCGGAGGCAGCGGCAGGTCGCTCTCCTACAGGGACACGTCGAGGCACAGGGACGTCGGCTGTGCGGCAGCGAGCAGTGGTGACACGCCCGCCCTCCAGACCATCATCACCACGACCACCAAAGTGTCCTACCAGGCGGCCTTCAAAGCCAACGCCGTGAAGTGCGCCGAAGCGCCGTTCGAGCAGAAAGCCGTTGAAAGCGGCTCGAACCCCGCGGCTGGCGCTCACGCCTCGGGCTACTCTGATCGCATTCTCCCCACGGACAACCCGTACCTGCTCGCCAATAAGTACGCGGGTCCCTACCAGCAGGTGTACTCGTCGCCCCGCAAGGTCGTCTCCGCTGAAGCCGGGGAGGAGTACGGCCCGCTGAATGGCGCGTACAATGACCGGCTGTGCCTCAACCTGCATTCCTGCAGATACGACAATCTGGGCTGCTAGGGTTAATCGTGAGATGTACCATCCCCAGAGCATTGGGGGTGGCGGGGGGGGAGGGGCTGAAGGGGATTGAGCTTCTCCCGTTGAAGGTTCAGCCTCCCCCGATTCCGTTTAACATTAAAATGTGCTTGAACTTTGTTTAGCAACGATTGTGCCGTGTCCCCCTTTAGACAAAGGTCACACTACGGGGTTGTGTGTGGCGCGGTTGTTAACGGGCTGTTGGGCTACGAACCCCGGCGGCGAGATGAGAATAAAAAATAATAACAGCTCGGAAAAGTGAAACTTGAGTTTGTGTTTCACTGCCACGTTTTATATTCGAAAGAAACTGTGGAAAAAATATAGAAATGGTCATTTTCTTTCGGGGGGTATTTTCAAATTGTCTTTTTGTTGTTTTTTGCTGTCATTAATTTAATGTGTACATAATATGTTTTTTCACAACAAAGATGAAAGATCGTGACTGTCGAACAAAATGTGTGTAACGAAATCCATGACTATAACGCGTATTTTCCTCATTGAATAATATATAGTGGATTCATGTTTGCAAGACTGTATGAAATGAATATGAATGATGGATGGTCAACACATTAAAGTACTTCTACAACTCTGAACACATTAAACTACAGTCGTGACATTTACTGTAATAGGCTTACTCTGAAACCTCCAATTACACCGATAGCCAAAAGTCAGGGATTCGTGTTTAGAGCTCTTGTATTCAAAGTGCTGCGGAAAGTGTGGACCTATACAACACGATTGAGGTCATTTACTCCCAATGTCAACATACACTTGTGTCGATATGCATATACCTGTGGTATATATACAAGGAATGTTGTAGTAGCACCTGAAGACTTAACACTGACTGCAACTTGAAATTATTGGGATACTTTAAACGTAGCGTGTAGTTTGTAATAAATATGTTAAATTATCATTGACAGCAATGGAATATGAAAAGTACATTTCCTAAAACCGGGTATTTGTAGCGCAATGGCGCAGTGTTTAGCGCACTCCACGATGAACCTAGCAAATATGGTGAGTTTGATTCCCAACTACGGCTCACATAGTGAGTGTGATATCCAACCAGTTCTGCGGCCCTCTCATCACCAACCCACACTGACGAGCATGGTGAAGTATGGCATGATATCTGTCGCTATGTTTTTTATACGTTCAAACATCGACAGCATCATTGAATAAACGTATTTAATATATCCTCACTTGTCAAAAACGTATTGAATAACTTCACGAATACAGCCATAATTATCGGAAACATATTACTTAAGTTTCAAGAATTTTAATCTATTATTTGTTGCACATTAAAATAACTAATACATAATATGTTTCATTTAATGTGTCCTCAATGATTATTAAACATTATTTATTAGTTGTTTTAATATGGGCAACAAACGTAATATTTGGAATTCTTGAAAATTATGCAACATGTTCAGGATGTATAAAAACTTAAGGACATATTATTATTATTTTATTTACCTACGTGACTTTACCGAAAAAAACCTAAGAATATGAATCCTTGCAAGTCACGAAAGATTCAAATCTAGAAACATATTAATTAAGTTAAGTTATTTAATACGTTGTCGATAATTGAGGTTATATTAAATGTTGTGTTGAGTATGTTGTCGATTTAACATACATTACAAATCAAACAAATGCCATGTCATAATGAAGTACGGTCAAATAATCCATAACGCACACGGAAAGGGGAGGCTCTCATCAACCAGCTTATTGACAAAAGAGGGAAGTTGACTTTTCTCAAATGTTTTCACAACCAAATTATTACCAGATGTACCGTGTGACATGCACATTAGATTTGAAAGAAAAACAGGTTTCGCAGATATATTTCACTGCTTCACTTGTCTGATGTATTAACATTAAATCAATAAGTTATTACGTAATAACGGTAATGTTGAAATGGTACAGAATGTTGCGCGCTCAGGCAGCAATGTGCGCATCCTTGAAAACGTCGTCCACAAACAAACTTGAAAATATAATCTGTGCAACCAAAAGAAACCAACAACGCTTAATACTGTACGTTGTCTCAGTCACACACGCGCATTGCAAGTTAGGTCACGGAACAAGGGCCGCGATGTGTCCACATCCACGGGTGCCATTCATTGTCACGGGCGAGTTTAGCTTCGTCTTTCTTTGACACGATCGCTAAATTATGCCCTGACCCAAAGTGTGGAAATGTCTCGCAGAAATTCCGAATTTAAACGTGACAATATCTTCCTATTATCAAACCCGTCTTCTTGTAATATTCAATCGTCTACTTGTGGATCGTGTACTATTTACTGGTAGCTTTGATATTCAGAATAAATCTTAAGTCACGATGGATTTCCGACACATTACAGATCACGCGTCGTGGGTATTTCAATCTCTTCCAGGAAGCCTGACCAGCATGGAAGAGTAGGCCAAATACCATCTAGAGAGGCTGTCTAGAGCTCCCTCCAGTGGAGGCCTCGTCTGCCAGCAGGCGTGTGAGCAAGCAATTCCAGGGCTGTGCCTTTAGCTTTTACACGGGGCTCATTGTGTTCGATGGGGCTCACTTTGCTTGTAAATAACTCATTGGGCATGAGTATTTTATACGAAGAAATGTAAACAAAAATGGGAAGAAACAATTAAGTAGAGTTATTTTTGTATTAGATTTATTATTTGAGATGTTAACAGTGTCATCGTGTTTTGCACTTGTATTATGTGACTCAAAAAACCCAAAACTGTGACTTGTGTTCTTCATGAAATGTGTCTTAAAACGTGCTTGCTTGGCATTATCGACAATTCTACAGCTTGTAAAACAAAATATGCTTTAAAATGTAAGCCATATACTTTGAAGGTGGAATAAGCAATAATCATGCTCAACATTCACACGCGCTTCACATTACTTAACATCACGTATCCGTATATGTTGTGTATCAATAATATATCAACCCATGTAGCGTTAGCATCGGAGAGCAGTTCATTTTTTTTTAAACGGACGTGGCTGCCGACTTAGGCGAACGTAATCGGGCTTCCTCTTAACACTAAGATGTGGCGGTTTCTTTTGTAGAAAGTGGCATTTCTCTCCGTGCATTGCTGTTTCTTATTAAAAACGTGTCGAACAAACAAGCGTAGGACTTTTTTTGTGACCTCTCTATTTTTTTTATTAATATTATTATTATTTGGACGACCTGGCAACGAGAGAACGGACATGCGGTTTGACACACGTCTGCCGCCACAACCCTGAGCACGCTGTCTGGGACGCACGCGGAACGGACGCCGCGACAAGGAACCGGCTAGTCTAAACAACACATATTCTCCTGTACACTCCGCTGAACCCCAACCTTATATCTAAGTATATCGGGTTCCCCCCCCCCCCCCGTCTTTGATGTTACACATTTTTTTTCGTGCAGAATTGCACTTCGCCAACGCTTGCTACGAAGCACATGTCTCTAGCGGAGCTCGTAAATAAGGAGCGCAACGCAAGGTCGCGTTGGCTTGCTCGTGAGCAAACGGGACGGCTTGCAGTTCTACAAAACCCAATTAAGGCTCGCGACTTGCAATGAATACAGGTGGCTGGACATCTCCCGCTGACTGACACCAAGAGCACAGAATACAACAGTCCCTCGTTATAGCAACCTCAATGCAATTTGCTCCGGCCTTTGGTGAAGCTCACCCCTCTGCCAAAAGCGCTTTTTTTTTCTTTTCCCGCGGCTGACCTGTCAACGCCTGTATGGTGTAAGTATCCTACTTCAGTGCAGTTTGCAAGACCGTGTGCAATTCCTGTGGCAGTTATCATTGTAAACTATCTCCGGTGCCCAGTGTGTGCTGTCACACATGCATGGGTGCAAGCGCTGGTCATGAACCTTTGCCCCGGACAGGCGCTTGCACCTTTACGCACCTTTGCCTGGTATTCAATTCACGCTGCGAGCCCATGCACTGCAGTTATTCACAATAATGTGAACAGAGGGGAGGCAGTGATGCGCTACACTATGAACCTGGTGACCTGAGTTTGATTCCCGACCACAGCTCTTGCATCAGTGGTGAATGACATCCGAAGCAGTACTGGGTCCCCACCCCGTTCACCGAACCGCGACGAGCCGCGTGGTGATGTTTGGTCAAACAAACCCCTATGACCGACCTGACCTTCATCCAGCAGTGGATTGAAAAAGGGCTGTATTTTTTTTATTTTACTCTTTATATTTTTTTCTTTGAAACAATAGTATTCAATGGAATTTTATACCACTAGTGTTTTTTTTTTATTTATGAACTATGTTTTAATGCAGATTTTCTTTTCTGCCATTAACGTTTTATTGATAGTCTGTTAGAGGAGGTTAAGGATTCTCTTTTGGATGTTCCTGTGCTACCTTTGGCCGGGAATTCTTGCCGAAACCAAAACATCATTTTTCAACAACAGTTTCCCCCAGCACCCGTATGCACACATGACATGCAGGCCAGGCATCGCCCACACTGGCGATAAATACTTTCCTGCACTTCAAACGGACCTCACATCCACCGACCGAACGAACCGACCGACCGCTCGTCTCGCTGCAAAGCCAAGCCGTGAACACACTCACAGACGTCACGTTATTCAACTTCACAACGCGACGCACAGAACGACCACGGTGGCAGCGTTTACTAATCAGAATCGCTTGTGTTGCGGCAACATAAAGCGTACGCTTCTTGTTTTGTGCCTGATTGTCACAACGGCTGCGCGACGCATACGTGTGTGTGTATGTTTCTGGATGTCCAGCGTCTATCGCTGCCAAAGCCCACGGAGAAAACGTCGGACGTCTTTGCCAAAGCGACACGCGGCACAACCCGAAAACGCACCGGAGAGCCACGAGGTGCGATCGCGACGCAACCACAGGCTGATAGCGATGGTGTAAAAAAAACGAGGAAAAAATAAGGGCGATCGTGCATTGATTTTTTTGTTGTTGCAACCACCCCATCTCTCTGTGATAAAACAAAAAAAGATGGGCTTCTTTAATCTTTCGCTGCTTGTAACATTCATCAGAGAATCTTCGCCGCAGACACAGTGTAATCTCAAAACAAAAGGCCGATATCGTCTCTTTGACAGCAGCTCTTTGTGTCCTGGCAAGAGCTGTTTGAGATTGATAGGCTGTAAGAGGTAACGTCTGGGTAACTCATGTGCCCCGCGTCTTCTAAGCGTTATTTGGTGATAAGCAATCTGCTAAACTGATATTAAATGCTGGTTGCAAAGATCACAGCGATGATCCACGCTTTGGAGATTCCCTTTCTCTCTCACACTACTTTTTGGCTACTAAAGACGTACATTATTTTAGATTAAAAGGAAGGTTTTTTTAATTTACAGCAGAATAGAGAGGTGGCATAATCAATGTTGTTAGTAGGGATAGCATCCTGACAAATCACGTGTAGCATTAAGAAGTGAGATCTGACTTAGCTTAATCAACGTGTTACTACGAAAGATGCGGCCATCACAAGCATTGTCTCTAGGCCACAAAGCAAATACTCTAGTTATAATATGAAGACGTTAATCGCTAAATAAGGCGTCAACTCATTCTCAAGAATGCATTCAACAGTTTCTTCGTGGGGATGTTTTCCATAACGTTATCGAGAGTATGGTATGGACGGAATTTTTTTTCCAGGAAATTACAAATTATTATCTAAGAGAGAATCTTACAATGTTTTTGTGAAACCTTTATGCGCTTGTGAAAAATAGGAAAGTACTGTAAATATAGTCATCCATAGTAATCCACTGCTGAATGAGTATCTTCATATCAGGCGGTGCATGGGGGTTATTTGACTATACTTCACCACGCTGGTCAGTTCGTGTTGGTGAAGGTAGGGAGCACAGTACAACAATGGATTCCATTGCATTTTCCTCGACTGCCAACCACAGCAGCGTATATCATCAACCTGCTGTGCACGATGGGCATTAATCCAAGCTCTTTCCAGACTCAACCCTGCCATGGCTTCCTAGATGTGACTAATATATGCGCAATACACGTAATAATAATAGAGGTGTTACTGATACACCATCAACGACAGGAGCATTTTTTTTTCACTTCCCACAAAACTGGGAGCTGTTTGGCTGCCCCTAGACATCTCTAATTCCACGTTGAACGCAAGCTTTAATTCTGGTCGAGCCAAAACGCAAACAAGTGGAAGATCACAGGCTCTGCAGGCAGGCAGGCAGCTACCTCCCCAGAATCATGATAGCATCTCGCCCGAGGGCATCACTGAATCCCGTCTGTCATCGAGCCCCTAGAGTGTATGCCATTCGCCGCACGTACTCCAACGCTGGCAGCTGCCCCGTTGGCACTTGCCTACCGCTATGGGAAGTGCCCAAGATAGGCCCCACGGTGTAAAGTGCAGTCTCCGACTCTTATCCACTCCATCCACAACAGTTCTCCGCCCAGAATGCAATGTGCCAGTAACACTTTATATTTTAGATTTTGTACGAATGTTGAACTTCTTTCGCACCGCACGTAACAACGCGTGCTAATCGGAGGTGCGGGGGAAGGACAACTTAGTATTAACTTTGAATAGCAATGAGTATATATTGAGGAATACTTTTTTATTATTATTTAAGGGTGTTTTACTCCGTAGCAACTCAGAGGTAACTATTCAAAAGTCTATTAAAATAAAACTGTTCGTCAGGGAACCTTTTTTTTATTGAAATCTCATCAGGCGCCATAGTGTACAGTGCAGTATCCCCCCTTTATCCACGCTCTCTATCCTCGCTATGAATGTGTAATGAAGAAGGGCCATTGCCCAAAACGTTGCCTATTTTCTACGTTTCCTCTTTAAGGCAGTGCTATTGATCAGCGTGTTCAGATTTGTTGATATCAGCGCTTGCTCACCACATTATCAAATGCAACAAATGCTTATTTTCCTGCAATTACCTCCCAATAGCTACTGGGAATTGATAGTGAATTATTGCTGTGGTATCATCTAAATATAAAGCCTCTGGGATAGCATTCGCAAATTTAACTTATCGTGTGGCAACCACAGCCCAAATTTCAACCATAACAATTGCCCATCACTTAACTTCTGAACATAAATATTCTTAAATAACCATGCTGAACAGGTGCAGGCCCCTCCTGATAGTAGAATCTTGAGACTCCGAGAGGCTTTCCTGGGTAAATTAGGAACATTATTTTATAGGAAGTGTGATAGCATGGTCGGCATTGGGCACTGGTGGAATAAAATTGGGGACCACTTCCTGTCCATCTCCCCATCCATTCGTCGTCCGGCACCTGGGCCTCTCCAGGCCATATGCATCGGTGCAGTTGTACTGCCTGCACACCGGACAACTCCAACACTGGTAACAGGTCTCAATTGAATGATAGCTCATGGGTCTCATTTCACATTCACCTACTTAAAAACACTAAATCTGCATTTCCCCCATTTAGTTGGTCGCATTGTAAATGTAATCTGCTGCAAGCGAGTTTCCATGATTTGAAGGGCAGATGACACCAAGGCACGGTTTATGTTGTGAGCATGAGCCCCCCCCCCCCCCCCCCCCGCTAATGTGCTTCCTATGCAGCCTACCAGCAGCATCGCGGAAGCTGTCAGAATCGTCATCTTAAACATATGCATATCCAACACAGCTTCCGGAGCTAAAACAAAAAAAGTTAATGCTTTTAGAGTGGCAGATGATGTTACATCTCAACGCTGGTGGGGGGTCTACATCTTAGCCAAAAATAAAACTAAAAAGAGAGTGAGAGCATGGGGGTCACGGTCACATGTGAGGACGTTATGTCGTCGTAGGAGCCCCCTTCTCTTGAAACGTAGATCCATTGAATAAGCTGGGCAGTGAATGAAAAATATATTTATCACTCTGATATGTGTATTGTAAACAGTGGGGTGGTGCAGTAGCACAGTGGTCATATATAAGCACTGCACTCTAAGCCCAGTGTCCTGAGTTTGATGTCGAGCTACACCCAACATCAAGCAGTGCTGGGCACCCCTATCGCGCAAACCCGCACTGACCAGCGGAGTGAAGTACGATCACACCATCCCCCATGACCGACGTGGCATGTGGAGGCTTTCATGCAGCAGTCGATTGATTCTGGGCTGTACATTATTATTGTAAACAGTATGTGCATTTTGGCACCGCATAT